CTTGTAACATTTTACGGCAGAAGAGCTTTTGGAAGATCTCATTTAAAAGAGATATAACTAACCAGGAAGCTTTTCATAGCATCTATTTAAGCCCTGAAATAAGTACTGTCAGTAGAATGGCTTTTGCTTAAAAGGGACAGTAATTCTACTTAGCAAAGTTAAAAAAACAGGGTTGCAACAATTCTCCATTATTCTTGAGACGGAGAAGTGATACTCGTATTATCTGGGGACCTGGCTGCCACTTGGATATCAATGGTGCTGTCGTGTTAATGTAAGGAACAAAGTCAAAATGCAAGTTTTCATTTTTAAAAAGAGCTCAACCTAACCACGTTACCCAACATTTTGGTGCCTTTTAATATATTATCATGAATTATCTTCTCTTGTAACTTCAAAAGACCTTATATCTTTATGTAAGTCACACAAATCACATTTAAATATTTATCGATGATTTTCTAGTCCTCCAATGATTTGCAAGCTAGCCCTTGTTAGTTAGGCGTCAGTAGAGCGGTGGGAGAACCAGCATTGAGACCATTACCATGCCTCAAGGAGGAAGGAGTTTTTTCTCCTTAATTCCTGCCTATTTCCATCTCTCTCTTCCTGAGGACTACTATCATCTGCTCCCAAGAGGAGCCCCTCGTGGCACAATGGGTTAAACCAGTGGTTCTCAAGCTGTGGGTGTCCAGATGTTTTGGCCTTCAACTCTTAACAGCTGGTAAACTGGCTGGGATTTCTGGGAGTTGTAGGCCAAAACACCTGGGGACCCACAGCTTGAGAACCACTGGGTTAAACCTTTGTCCCAGCAGAGCTGAAGAATGACAGGTTGGAGGTTCGAATCCAGGGAGAGTGCAGATGAGCTCCCTCACTCAGCTCCAGTTCGCCATGTGGGGACATGAGAGAAACCTTCCACAAGGATGGTAAAACATCAAAACATCCAGGCTTCCCTTGGGCAACATCCTTGCAGATGGCCAGTTCTCTCACACCAGAAGAGAGTTGCAGTTTGTCAAGTTGCTCCTGACATGAAAAAAAAAAACCTGCCTCCAAAAGGACCTGGCCACCGAATACTCGGGCCAGCTGGTCAGCGCCACCCATCCCTTTCCCACAAGGCTGTAAAATTGGTCTTTTCTGTGGCAGTGGCAGCAGTGAAATCCCCCCCCCCCACCACTATCTTATCTGCCATCTGTCATCCAGCAGAGCTGAGCTGTCATGTAGTGCTGTGGTTCCAGTGATGTAATTGTGGTTCCTGCTTGTCCTAGGTTAATGAATATATTTCAATTTGCACAGCCTGGGGGATGTGGACAGAATTTTTGGAGAGGGGAAAGCCACCATATGTACACTAGACCCTTGACTTTATTGGTTTATGAAAGCACTCAGAAGTGGCTGCCTGAGTGGGTGACAGCACTAGTGAATTCCGCAATTCAGCAAGGCCTCATCACATTGAGTGCCTTAACATGGGTGACAGCGGGGGGTGGGGGGTGTTTGTCTCCAGGCATTGCAGTGAACCCATAGGACAGTGGGGAAATCCATCACCCTGCATTAGTGCCTTCTCCATGGAGTAAAGCATTGCTGCCTGGCTTCCCCTTGCTCTCACCTCCCATGTTCTCCTTGCTCCATTGTAGTACGCTTCCAGTACAATTCAAGGATGGAGCCCCGCAAGAAGTAGCTGTGTGTCACTTGTTGGGATCCATCGGGCTCCATCTCTGAACTGTGCTGGAAGCATCCTAAGATGGGCAAGGAAGCCCATGTGATGAAGTCATAAAAGATGCTACAGCAAGGCCTATATTTTAAACAATCCCTTCCTGGACCTGACTAGAGTGGATAACTACTAACCAGTTTCCAATATTCCTTTTCTGGGCAATGTTTTAGAGGGCAGCCCAAAGGTTTCTGGTTCAAATGGATGATCTAGATCTATACTGATCCAACCTCAGGCTTAGCTATGGACCAGCAACAGCTTTGGCTACCTTGATGGGAGGACTGATGATACTCAACTAAGTCTCTCCGTTCCACCAAATTCCAAGGAAGCTGTCTCTGTGTTAAACCAATGTTGCTGTCAGTAAAGGATTTGATAAAGGCAAACAAATTGAATCTTAATCCAGACAAGACAAGTGTGCTCCTGGCCTGTTGTAAGAATAGGGATTCAGCCTGGATGAGGTTCCCACTCCCTGAACTCTCAGGTTGACAGCTTGAGCATTGTCCTGGACTCAAAGCTCAGCCTGGATGCCCCAGTTTCAGCCGTAGCCAGGAGTGTGTTTGTACAGCTGAAATCAATGTACCAGCTGCATCTGTTCCTTGAGACATCAGATCTGGCAACAGTGACATGTGCTTTGATTACATCCTGTTTGTATTATTGTACTGTGTACACTCTACTTGGAGCTCTTTTTGGAAACTGTATAAAAACTTCAGCAGGTCCAAAATGCTGCAGCTAGGTTTATAATTGGAGCAAGTTATAGGGGAGGTTATATCTCTTTGCTGAAAACAGCTCCACTGGCTGGTGATCAATTTCAGGGAATAATTCATAGCACTGGCTATAATAACCTTTAAAGCTCTACACATCTTGGGTGCAGACTACCTGAAAAATTATATCTCCCTATATCAGTTTAGTCATGCTGAAAGGGAATGCTTTCTCTTGGTCTCACCAACATCCCAGATATGCCTTCTCAGGTTGCTCCAAAGTTCAGGAATTCCTTCCCTGGGAGGTCCAATTGGCCCCCTCCTTGTCTTTTTACCGGCAGGTAAGTGCCTTTTTATTTACGTAGGAGCTCAGTTTTGAGTATATCGCAACTGGCTGAGTCTTTAATAGGGTTTCTAGTCATTTCTTGAATTTAATTTTAATATTGTTTCCATGTTTTAGTGCTGTTTTTAACCTGTGTGTTTAACATTGAATTTTACTTCAGTTGTTTCAACTTTTGTATTAAGAACTTTTTTTATTGTTATTGTAGATGCCCTATATTGCCTTAAATCTTATAATGGAAGAAATACAGGATATTTTTAATGTATTTTAATGTATTTTACTGTTGTTGACCTGTTTATGTTAATTGCTGTGTTGTAATTGTTCTTTGTCGGCTTCTAATGATTGCCAATTGTAAGCTGCCCTGATTCCCCTTTCGTGGGTTGAGAAGGATGGGATATAAATGTTTTAAATAAATAAATAAATAAATGTAAATGGAATAAATAAATAAGTAACTTCTTTAAAATACTATTTCTCACTCTACATTGTGGTTTGGAATATCTAATTCCTTAGGCAAATCCATGCTGAATCCTTCTGTTTCCACAGTTACAAGCAGTATTGTTGACTATTTTAAAGAATATTAAGTGCAAACAATAGTTCTGTCCAAAGTTATAGCAATTCTGACTCATATGCAGAGCTTGGGAACATTAGGCTTTGGTCTACAAGTGACACAATCCTCTAGCCTCTGATAACATTTCCAAGGTCTAACCACGGGGTATCATTTGGTTCATTGTTACTTGCAGTGAAGGGATTACTGTTTCCTCTAGTCTTAATGTTCAGAAACAAGTGCAAACAATAGTTCTATCCAAAGCAGAATTTTTCATATACAAAAGAGGGCTGTATCAGCAGGTGTGAGATTGTCAGAGATTAAAGAATCAGGGAGAGAAATCTTCCAGATAACAGTCCAAATCAGAGAACAGCATAGAGAAGGATGATGCTGACCGAATGCTAACTAAGCATGGAGGAGAAAGAGGAATACCAACTAGGAGAGGAAATGAGATGAGAGCTCCATTCCATGTACAACATTTTGTTACAGGACAAACTCATGTTCTCGTATTTGAAGCAAAATGGCATCCTTTGCAGCATTCTCAAAACTAGGATGGAAAGACAGCTGAATACGTTTGTGTGCATAGATTGGTGCAGCCCTTCACAATACTGTGGGGGAGACATGGCTAGCCAGCTGCTATTCTGTGTAGCTGTGGTTTTCTAGATGTTTGCGATCTGCAACTTTCATAACCCTTCACTTCTCACTATGCTGGAGATAAAAATCATGGGGAGGGCCAGAGTTGGGGCATCCCTCTACACAGCACTATTCCTTTGAAGGAGTGAAGATTTGCTAGGTTCCACTAGTAGTGCCATACAAATAATCAAGTACTACAAGTGTGATCCAATGTTTTGTTAAAGTGGTGTCAAACTCCTTCTACTCTACAGTGTTGATACACCTTAAGTCTTGCAACACCCTTCATCCTATCAGCCTACATGGATGCATACATAAAGGTAAAGGTAAGGGTTTCCCCTGGCATTAAGTCGTCGTGTTTGATTCTGGGGGTTCGTGCTCATCTCCATTTCTAAGCCGAAGAGCAAACATTGTCCATAGACACCTCCAAAGTCATGTGGCCAGCATGACTGCATGGAGTGGGACCTATTGATCTATTCACAGAAGTGGGACCTATTGATCTATTGATATTTGCAAGTTTTCTAACTGCTAGGTTGGCATAAGCTGTGGCTAACAGCAGGAGCTCACCCTGCCCCCTAGATTTGAACCACAAACTTATCAATCAGCAAGTTAGGCAGCTCAGTGGTTTATCCTGCTGCACACCAGGGGGTCCTGCATAGATAAAACATGATCATAAAAAAAAATAACATAATGCAGTTCTGGTGGCAAAAGAACAAACAGGATGTTTGAGGGGAGAGGGATTGTCGATGTTTTTCCTATGTGAAAGATTCTGAATTGAAAGTGCTGGGGAGGCAATGTGAAAGAGCAGGGAACACGCTGTTCACCTGTGGCCCAGACATATAATTTTCATATCAAGCATTAATGACCGGTAACTTGCCTAGAGAGATACTCATTCATTTCATTTCCAGGCATTTTGTATTAGCTGAACCCTTTTCATCATGACCATATAGTCACCATGTAAATGACAATTGAGGCTCAGCAGCTGGGGGTTGTCACTGAGGTTATTAGGAGCCCAGCAGTGGCATGTCTCATTTCTTACGCTATTTACAGCGCGAGGGGGAGCAACTCATCACAGAAGAGGTGTTAATGGCAGGCTACCTGAATCCCTATAGACGAACGCCGGCTCTTACGGAACTCCTCCGCTTTTGTCACGAGGATGGCCTTGTCACTGGTTCGGACTGAGGTGCTTTGGCTCTCCGACATGTGGCGTTGTGCAGCTGCCGTTTCCAAGGCCAGGTTCATGGCCTTGTTACTATCCAGGCTGTCTGTGGAGTTGTACATCCCTCGACTGTCTTGCGGCCAGGGGGAAATCCTCTGAGTCCGACTATCATGATAGGCATCCTGGGTGGATTCTGTGCTGCTCTGTGCTGTAATTGAGATTAGTGGCTTCGAGGTGGTGCGAGGGGGTACAGGCGGCGGTGTTTTTTTGTAACTCGTATAAGTCACAGCTGCAAAAGAAATTTGGGACAAGGAAGAGCAGAGAGAACACAATTAATTTCAAAAAATACACATGGCTGTCAGCAACAACACAATCAACCGGCTGATTACTCTGCTTAAAATTGGCACAATTATGTAATAAACTCATCCATGGACCTCACAATTGGCATAAATCTCCCCACAGACAGAGAACAGGCCGCTATAGCAACAGGTTGATTTCATTTCAAAGAGGAAACAATGGCTGCAAATGTTCCTCTTGCCCAAACGGAGCCACCATGAAGATTAGAAATGAACTAGCAGGGAATTTCTGCAAATGTCTTTCAGCCTGAGTTGGAGGGTCAGTAAATGCAGACCCAATAAGGCATGCTCATTGATTCAGACCGCAAGTGGCAGGAGAACAAAGGCTTGCTTTTTCTCTTTGTCTCCGTTCAAAGCCAGGCGGGCTTCCTCAGCCTGGTCTAATGGATTAAAAGACAGTGTTTGACAATATCATAATGAAGCTGAGTTCCCCAGACTCGAAGCACAACAGGAGAGCATTTGGGCAATTTTTAACTATGTGAGGAATTAAGTTCAAGTGAGACCGAGAGAGAGAGAGGAGAGGAGAGAAAACACAATGAATCAAATGCCCTTATGATTTATGGAAGAGGGAAATGGTCAAAGATGAATTATGCTCCCGAAAACCCATTTCCCTTCTTCTGCACAGTGAAGTGGTTTGCCCTCTAAGTAAGGAGGAAGGCTTTAAGCCTTCAGAGTTTTATGCTCCTTTTTGTCACCTAATAAAGCTCTGAGAAATGGCTCAAGGGAAGGCTGCGAGAACAGGTAACCAAGGGGCAGGGACTTCAATTACACTGTGTAGTGAAGTCCTGCTAACCTCCTTCATCAGCGCAAAGTCCCTGTAGTAATGCTGTGTTAGAGTGAAGGATGAGGGAGTATGTGATCCTTTCCTCCAACACCCCTTTGCCAACCTGCTTTCCTTTCTTTCAGTCCGCTTCAGGGGCTCCTTCTGCTCCACGCCACTTCCTGAGATTGTTGTTTTGCACAGGAGAGTAGACTATTAGAATCATAGAGTTGGAAGAGACCTTGTGGGCCATCCAGTCCAACCCCCGGCCAAGAAGCAGGAAAATTGCATTCAAAGCACCTCCAACAGATGGCCAACCAGCCTCTGATTAAAAGCCTCCAAAGAAGGAGCCTCCACCACACTCCAGGGCAAAGAGTTCCATTGCTGAACTTCTTTCACAGTCAGGAAGTTCTTCCTCATGTTCAGATGGAATCTCCTTTCTTGTACTTTGAAGCCACTGTTCCATATCCTAGTCTCCAGGGCAGCAGAAAACAAGCTTGCTCCCTCCTCCCTATGACTTCCCCTCACAAGAATGAATCTGCTGCGGATATGTTTATTATTATTATTATTATTATTATTATTATTATTATTATTACTTTATTATTATTATTATATCTAAATTTCCTGCCCCTTTGTGACACCTCAACTGACAATTCTAGTTGCAAACACCTCTCTGCAGATTACGATCCATAGCAGGTGGGATTTGGAAAGTCCTCCAACCATTTCTTTCATACAAAAAAAATGAAAAAAACTAGGCAACCTGGAAACCAAGTGGTCTAAAGTTGTGATGCAGAGCCATTTTGGAACTGCTACAGATGCAGACCTTGCACATTGGGGTTGGAAAGGTTATAGCAAGATAAACTATTTTCCACAGGTCTACAATACTGTGAATTTTAAAGAACTAGACAACAAAAAGGGGAGTGTGATATAGTGATTTCAGTGCAAGACAAAGGACCTTATCACATTTGGAAAATTCCCCATTGTAGAACACTACGCCAACGCAGCCATCACAGAGCATGCCAGATCTCATCACATGTAAATGTATGCTGTTTTGTCATGGCACTATTATGTGCTTTTTGTGAGCCACCCTGAGTCCCTTTTGGGTACATGATGGCAGGGTATTTTAAAGTAGTTGTTATAATAATAATAATAATAATAATAATAATAATAATAATAATAATAATAATAATTTTACTGACACAAAAGCACAGTATGTCACAGCAAACGAGATATATATGCTGGATTTCGTATCACAAAATCACAAATCAAACACTTCCCAAGCATCTAATTCGCTGATGGTGTTTCGGAAGAGATTAAAAACATGGTTGTGTAAACAAGCATTCGGTTAGTTTGTTACCACCGAATTTTATGGACTAAGGACTGGTTAATTATGGATGACGAACTCTGGACTGTGATTTTAGTGATGAGATACATGGTATTATTATTGGTGGCCCAATAATTTGTATTGTCTATGTGTTGTTGTTTTAAATTGTATATTGTTTTTAATTGTTGTAAACCGCAATGAGTCGCCGACTTAGGCTGAGATATTAGCGGTATACAAGTGTATTAAATAAAATAAATAAATAAATAAATAAATAAAATCTAGGACTGTGTGATGTATTTTTGAATGATGTGCATAGATCCAAGTAAGGTGGCCTTTTGCAGTTGACAGATCATGATTTTGTCGTTTATTGTTTCCAAATACCAGTTGAGACCTTTTGGCACGGTACCTAGTATGCTGATGGCCACTGGGATCATCTGTACTGGTTTATGCCAGAGCTGCCTTCTTCTTCTTCTTCTTCTTCTTCTTCTTCTTCTTCTTCTTCTTCTCTTCCTCTTCCTCTTCCTCTTCCTCTTCCTCTTCCTCTTCCTCTTCCTCTTCCTCTTCCTCTTCCTCCTCCTCCTCCTCCTCCCTCCTCCTCCTCCTCCTCCTCCTCTTCTTCTTCTTCTTCTTCTTCTTCTTCTTCTTCTTCTTCTATTTGGAACCTAACTTTACCAATCTAACTTTCCAAAGAAGTAACTATATAGTAATTTTATAGCTACTATATAGCTACATAGGTAATTAGAATACTTTCAAACTCTATGTCTGCCTTGTACCAGACCAAAAAGTAAAGAGGGCCCTGCCCTTAGAGAAACTAAACTATCCGCTCCTAGCTTGAAGAAAAGCTGTGGGAGACTGAGAGAACACTGAGACATATTGATAATAGACAGCTGAATAATTGGGAGGAATATAGGATGAGAAGGTGAGACTGGGGAAGGAGGACTGAAAAGGGAAGCAAGGAGATGATGTGGAAAGATGGAAGGATTTAGAGACATTCGTTTTGACCTTTGACTTCTCTGCAAAGATGAAATAATACATATTTTTATATTTGCCAGCCTGATGTTTACTGACTGTTTGCCAGAGAACCCAAACTTCACCTAGGGTTGAGAGGAAGTAGGATTTTTCTCAATTTGCCAAAGCTTCTGAGGAAGAATTAGTTGTCTGTTTTCTTTAGTAGATTCTTATTTGGAGAAGTAAATACAATGCAAGAAGAGGCTTATCAAGTTCCCCTTCCAATGGAAGAGGGTCAATCTGTGACATGCCTTGTAAGTATGCAATGATTACCCAATAATTCTGCAAGCAAAATTCTCAAAAGGTTTAAACAGTGTTGTATAATTGAGTATATGGTACTTATTTCCCATTTAATCTTTCATGTTACAGCAGTCTCACATGTGAGAAGACTGAATAAATTGCAACATAATTACAAAACATTACATATATTCAGTTCAAATTTCCTAGCCATAAGCCATAACAAAACTAAAAACCACAAAACATGTTAAAACACATTAGCTGTAAAACATACAGAATTGGATATTTGCCTGAAGAAACTGCAGAACAGTTTTCACAAAGCTTCAGGACAGAATGGAACTAGTGGCCTCGGATACAAATGCTGCAGTCCATTGAATGAGTGGATCAGATGCAGATGTAAGAAGATGGGAGTAGTTATATTCAGTTTTTTTTTGCAAAGTGTCTTTTTTACATACTTGATTGTACTAAAAATAGATTCAGTGATATCAATGAAAACTTGACTATAGCAAACATGGTCTGTATTCTGTACTCTGTTATTCTGCTGCTGTTATTTAGCCCTAATTATCGAGAATGGGAATTCATTTATGCAATTGCTTTGCAATACATCCATAAGATAGGAAAAAACAATAACCCCGCTCTGTGGTACAGACCAATGATATCAATAGGTCTGGACTAGAGTATACAGTACCATGTTTCCCTGAAAATAAAAAATAAAACATACCCATAAATGATCTGTAGCAGGATTTCTAAGCATTTGTGCAATATAATCCATAACCCCAGAATAAGACATAGTGATCCAAGCTGAGGCATAGAGGGGGACATAGAAAGTGAAATGCAAGAACTTTCTGCAGAGGAGGTGGAGGTGAGTCCGGGCCTCCCTCCTGCTCACTTCCTGCCTCCTTCCCCCGCCCTCCTCCTCCTCCTTTTCCTCCTCCTCCTGTTCTTTCTTCCCTTCAGGACAGGCCAGGCAAAGCAAGGCTTCCTCCCTGAGGGAGTGAGAGTGGGCATGAGTCACCGGCTCCAATGGCGGTTGGTGGTGCTGCGTCCTTTCAGCCCGTTCCCTGGGAAGTCTCCTCAGTGAAGTGAGGAGGAGGACGCTCTGCTTTAGGTATTGTGTGTCCTCAGGGGGAAGAAGTAAAGCTATGGTTGCTGTTTTATGCAGCACTATATTTGAATAAATGCAGATTGTTGTACCATACTTAATAAAAATAAGTCATCCCCTGAAAATAAGTCATAGTATGTCTTCTTGAAGAAAAATAAATATAATACAGTGTCATATTTTAGGAGAAACACAGTAGTTTTTGAACCCTATGCTAATCCACTACCACAAGGTTTTATTGCAATGAAATATAATTATTAATCAGTTCTAATAATAATAATATTATTATTAATCAGCCTTCGACAATACATTATTATTAATATTATTATTATTAGTAATAATAATAATGGCAATTCAGTGGATACACAGTTCTTGCAAGTAGGGAGAATTTATCATATGAGAATTTACAGATTCAATAATTTGAGCTTGTTTTTAAATTGGGATGAATATAAAAAAACAAAGATTTAAAATTATTTGTATCCTGATGCACACCACTACAAAAAGA